TGAGAAGAAACCATGATCAAGACTGGATCAAGTTTACTTCAAACAACAACAACACTTTAAACTGGATGAGAACAGCTTCTTTTTACTGTGCTTCAGTGTTGAGATTGATTACCAAGGAACATGGTGCTCTTGTAAAGGCTTGGTCTTATCTTCCAGAGCATTACCAGAAGTTTTATCAAACTCCCATGGAGTTTCATATCTCATTGGATCATGAGTGTTTGAAGTCTGTGAGGATAGTTTTACAGAACAGGCCGATAATTCGTGATTCTGTAGCTCCTTTTCTTCTAGCATTCCAAGAGGTTAAAGGAGAGAAGAATCGACGTATCTGCGAAATGTTGTTTGAGACCCATTTGAGGTTTACAGGACTTCATGCTTATACTCTGTTTGTCTCAAATGCTAGCAAACTCGGTGTGCCGTACGATGTGTTTATGGCTCTACTCAATCGTCGCGATTCCAAAGAAGGTCTAGAAACAATTACGAAGATCCTGGAAAACTATGAGAGTCCTAGCTTAGACAAGGATGATAAAAAGTCTAAGTGCACATGGGTTTACTCTAGGATTTTCGACTCAGAAATGTTTGACAGTCTGCAAACAAAGAACTGTACGTTTTTAGCAGCCCTACTAGCTGTAATTGCAGATACAATTGGAGCATCAGGCTCAGGTCAAGCTACTAAAATCAAACAGTTGGAAGGCTATATCGATCATAACAAAGATAATCTTCATTTGTGGACTGGAAGAATAATTGCAGCCTGTAACAAGTTTAATGAGGAGAAGAGAACCAAGCTTGTTTAATTGTAGTTTGATTAGTTTCTTATATTCTTGTTTTGTTATCAACCTTGAAATTTTTATATGTACTATAAATGGTTTGCACTTTCCATTATTGTTCAATAGATGAAGAAACAGAAACTCCTAATGATATAAGAAACATTAGCTAAGATGATACGTGCGTGCGCCTTTGTTGTTTGATTGCCGGAGCTAATAAAGCCAATGTCCAAAAAGATGAGAAAGATAACCATAGTCTGTATTACACATGACTTTTATCAATTGCTCATCAATGTCAAGTATAACGAACATTTTGTACAACAAAACTCTGCGTTTCAATTCACAGTCTTCACTCTTTTCAACCTTACCAAGGCACAATTCAACAAAATTTAATGTCACAGGGAATGATGAAATGTCTAAAGTTGAAGAGCTAGTAGTTTAAGCTACACGGCACTTGACTTTGACTTTTCATCAAAAGACTTGAAATCATCAAGTTGATGGAGCTTTATCTTTTATATATACGTAGTGACACTTTCTTGTTTACCATCACATGAAAAATTTAGAAAATGAGCTTTGTTTTTCGTTCCCTCCATTTCCTTTTCCTCATTTCAAGTTTTCTAAACACGTTTGTTTCTCCTACACAACATGACTTATGTCATCCCGACCAAAGAGATACTCTTCTTGAGTTCAAGACTGAGTTTGGGATCCACAAGCCTGCTTGGTGGGATTCAGATATTTCCTCTTATCCGAAGACAAAATCATGGGTGAAAAACAGTGACTGCTGTTCTTGGGATGGTATCACTTGTGATGCTAAGTCGGGCAAAGTGATCGGACTAGACCTTACTGCCAGCTGTCTCTATGGCCGGCTCGAATCCAACAGTAGTCTTTTTAGACTGCATCATCTCCGTGATCTAAACCTCGCTTACAACAACTTTACCGCTTCACCAATCCCAGTTGAGTTTGATAAACTAAAGGGGTTAGAAAGACTTAACCTCTCTCAGACTTCCCTTTCGGGCCAAATTCCAACCAAGCTCCTTCAAGTAATCAAGTTGGTGTCTCTCGATCTTTATTCTGATCATATTTTACCTCATAATTCTCTATCCATTGATGGAATCTTTTCTTCGTCTACTTGCTAGAAACTTGAAGAACCTTAGAGAACTAGATTTGAGCTCGGTAAACATTTCTTCGGAAATCCCCCATGAGTTTTCAAACATGTGGTCTCTAAGATCACTGCGTCTTGAAGGATGCAACCTGTTTGGAGAATTTCCACGAAGTGTTCTTTTGATTCCTAACTTACAGTCCATTAGATTGGATAACAATCCAAATCTGAGAGGCAATCTTCCCGATTTCCGTGGAAATAACTCTCTGCTAGAGTTGAGCATTTACAACACATCCTTTTCAGGGATCATACCCGACTCTATCAGTAAACTCAAACATTTGGCTTGTTTGAAACTTTCCAGATCTAATTTCTCAGGAAAGATTCCATTTTCACTTGGGAATCTTTCTCATCTCTCATATCTCCATCTTTCTTTCAATAACTTGATTGGTGAAATCCCATCTTCAGTTGGCAATCTAAAACAATTGACCGTCTTTAGGGTTGGTGGTAATAAGCTCAGTGGAAACTTTCCATCCGCACTACTCAATTTGACCCAACTACGTTATATCAATCTCTGTTCCAATCAGTTCGAAGGTTTCCTTCCATCTAACATAAGCCAGCTCTCCAAATTGGAGTATTTTGGTGCTTGTTTTAATTCTTTTACGGGAGCCATTCCTTGGAACCTGTTCAAGATTTCTTCATTGACCAATATCAATTTAGAAAATAACCAACTCAGCGATCTCCCTGGGATTGAGAATCTCTCTCTGTTACCTAATCTACAATCTTTGTTAATTAGCAATAACAATTACAGAGTCAGTCCAGTTGACTTAATTATCTTGTCGCCTCTCAAACAACTACAATTCTTAGTTCTCTCGGGCATCCCTCTTTCAATGGCAAACATCACTTATGATTCAGACTTTCCTTGGGATTTGAAAATCTTGGACTTTTCAGGCTGCAACATCAATGGCTTCCCTGAGTTTATAAGAAACCAAAGGAATCTACAGTCTCTATACCTTTCCAGCAACAAAATCGAAGGTCAAGTACCAGACTGGTTGTGGAGACTGCCAAAGTTGACTTCCGTGGATCTTTCAAACAACTCTCTCAGCAGTTTCAAGGGCTCCTTAAAAGCTTTTCACGGCAGTCAGATCTCTTTTGTACATCTAAGTTCAAATGCTTTCCAAGGACAAATCTTCATCCCATCAAGATCTATCCGATATTATTTGGCCTCTAAGAATAACTTCACCGGAGGTATACCTCGATCAATATGTGAACTACGCTCCCTATCCCTCTTAGATCTATCAAACAACAACCTCCACGGCTCAATTCCTCGGTGTTTAGAGACTCAGATGATTTCTCTTTCTGATCTGAATCTTCGTAACAATAGCCTCGACGGAAGACTTCCTGGCATATTTATCAATGCCAAAAGTTTAAGGTCACTTGACGTTGGTCACAACCGATTAGTAGGGAAGCTTCCAACATCTCTGATCTGTTGCTCAAGCCTTGAAGTTCTGAACGTGGGAAACAACCAAATCAACGACACTTTTCCCTTTTGGTTGAATTCTCTGCAAACGCTACAAGTTCTTGTCCTCCGCTCTAATAAGTTTCATGGCGCGTTACATCATCCCCAAGTTGCTATTGGATTTCCTCATCTGAGGATCATTGATGTATCACATAATGACTTCACTGGAATCTTAAGATCTGATTACTTCACGAATTGGAAGGCAATGTACACCAACGGAGATGATACAGAATTGAAGTACATGGGATATGCCGGAAGTTACTATGATTCATTAGTTTTGATGAGCAAAGGGGTAGAAATAGAGATGACACGTATCCTCACAATCTTCACATCCATTGATTTCTCTGGAAACAAAATCCAAGGAAAAATTCCTGAATCCATTAGCTTGTTAAAAGGACTTCGAGTGCTCAACTGGTCAAGCAATGGTTTCACGGGGAACATACCATCATCTTTGGAAAACTTGAGGGAGCTCGAGTCATTGGACTTATCCCAAAACAAGCTTTCAGGTCAGATTCCTCCGCAGCTCGGGGACCTATCTTATCTTGCGTGGATAAACGTTTCACATAATCAGCTTGTAGGTTCAATACCACAAGGCACACAGTTTCAACGACAAAATTGCTCTTCCTACGAGGGAAACCCCGGACTATATGGTCCTTCTCTGAAGGATATTTGTGGAGATGTTTACGCGCCAACATCACCACAACCTGAACCGCTGGAGTCAGAAGAAGAAGAGGAATGGTTGAGTTGGGTAGCAGCAGGGTTAGCCTTTGCACCTGGATTGGTATTTGGATTAACTATCTGATACATAGTGGCTTCATATGAGTGATTCATGAAGACTTTTGGCCGAAGAAAACATGGAAGCACCAGAATTCGTTAGCTGCTCATTATCGATCTCTATTCCCTAAACATTGTAGTTCTGTTCAATTAAAAAGTTATATTCACTAAAAAAGACGTTATTTTTTTTTTATCAGGAAAAGAAGTGATAACAGAATCTCGAAACCTCCCAGAAAACATTGGAGCGTAAAGAAACCCTAAACAATGGAGAAAATTCTGACGTATCACTACTCCATAATTGAAATTCGGACCTTCAAACCCTTGAATTTCAAAATTAACAAACGCCCTTAACGATTAAATCACTGACCTCAACGATTAGCAATTTCCGAAGAAGGAAAGTGTAAACACAAATCCTTTCAACCTAAAATTTGCTGCCCATTTCCCTTAACATTTGAATCCTGGAAGAACAACAAACAATATGGATGATAATGAGTCGCAAGTGTGCATATACACACAAAAGAAAGTAATATATGAGATTCTGAAATATCCAAAAAGGCATAGTGCACCTGTTGTTGGTTGAATTTATCGAGACATACAGTTGCCAAATCAGTACAGAACTCACGTCTAGCTTAACCTAATTCAACAACGAATCGTCATTCAAAGGGCTTTTGTTAACCTCATCTTCCTACTGAAACCTCCTCTTGCCAACAATGGCGTCCTCGGTCTTCTCTTTATTTCCACAGTGTTTCTCAAACATCACAAAGAGCTTCTCCGCTTCTTCTTCTTCTTTGTTTCTAAACTTCTTCATTTATATCAAAAGAGACTAAATGAAGCCATGATCTGTTTCCTCGCAGTTATACCCAGCTTATGCCTGGCAATTTACCTCCAGAGCTATCTGAAATTCCATCCCTAAGCCTTTCTACTTCATCCCATCTCCCATATCTTGCATACACATTAGAGAGCATAACTTGGTAAACACTTCTTCTCTCTTCTTCACTCTCCAGAATCTTCTCTGCTACAACTTCAGCCAAATGAGTATTCTCATGAATTTCACAACAAGACAATAATGCTCCCCAAATCCCTGAATCAATCGGTCTTCGTAAAGACATTACATAATCAAATGCTTCTTCCAAAATTCCAGCCATTCCCAGAAGCTTTACAATGTAAACATGATGTTCTGTTTTTGGCTCAACACCAAAATCACTCTTCATTCTCATGAAGATCTCTTGACCTTCGTGTAAAAGACCAGAATGGCAACATGTACTAAGAAGAGCAGAGAAAGTGACCTCATCGGGTTTCAATCCCATCTCAAGCATCTCGTGGAACTTTTCAAACGCAGAGGAAGCAAATCCGTGCAAGCCAAGACCCAAAATAACGGAGTTGAAAGAAACAATGTTTTTCTCTGGAATTCCCGCGAAAAGAGCCATCGCGGAATCCAAAATCCCACATTTTGAGTACATGTCTATAAGAGCAGAGCAAACCTTTATATCCAGTTCTAGTCCTAGTCGAATAACATAACTGTGCACTTCTTGACCGTAGAGCGAATTCGATAACTCGGCACAAGACCCTAGTACAATCGCAACAAGAACACAATCTGGCTTCTTACCACTCATTCTCAGCTCATTAAACAGATACAAAACCTCCTTGTGATTTCCACATTTCGAATAACCCGTTATCAAAGAAGAACATGCAACTAAATCAGGCTCAAGGATGCTTCTAAACACACTAAAAGCAGAAGCTATGCACTTGCATCTCGAGTACATGCTAACTAGAGCACAACCAACATGAGAATGAGAATCTAAATTCATTTTCAAACAAAAGCCATGAACAGAACAAGCGATGAGTAATAAACTAGGATCAATCAAACCAGTCGTTAGGCCTACCATCGTATAACAATCAGGTCGATTTCCTCGATGAAGCATTACATTAAACAAATAGATTCCTTTATCCCAAAATCCACAGCATCCATATCCAGAGAGCATAACATTCCATAGAGCAACATCTGGCTCTGGTATTGAAACAAACAACTTACTTGCTTCAACAATAAGACCAGCTTTTGAATAAGCTTTAATAATTGCACTACCACAAATTTGATCAAATCCAAGACCAGATACAATTGCATTTCCATGAATACACCTCAGTCCCTCGGTAGTATCAAAACTCTCCGAAAAGCCACGAGCTAAGCACGCAAAGGTGAAGCTATCAGGTTTCGTATCAGAACTCAGCATCTCAGAGAAGAGTGAATAAGCAGTACCTAGTCGATGAGCTTTAGCAAAAGCTCGAATAACAGAGTTCCAGAGGAAAACGCTTCTCTCAGGAAATACGTCGAACAGTTTCCGTGCAGACAGAAGATCATCGTTTAACTCATAGAATCTAACAAGCTGCGTCGCGAAAAACGGATCACGAGCGAGTTGGGACTTGGTAACAAAGCTATGCAGTTTCTGGGTACTCAATTTCGTTTGAAATTTCCTCGAGAACTCATAGATAATCAAACGTAATTGCGTCTGCGAAGACATTACAATCACAAGATCCAATCTTTAATCTTCCCCAGTACCAGACAAAAAACCTCAAACACAAGACATAAAGCTCCAAAAATCGAAGACAAAATCGGAATAACGTAAAAAAGCTCTTGTTTTTAGTTGTTACAAAACTTGCAGAAGCTAGAAAATGAAGAAGAAGAAGTATA